TACCTTTTTGCTTTCGATGCAAGGCGTCGAGTTTTGAGATGAATTCCATGATTTTCTCTCCGTCGAGGCCCGAAGAACTGAAGCCCTTGATCTTGAACTTTTCGCTGATCTTTTGGATGAGGACTTCCCGCTCGGCTATCCGTTCCTGCTGGGCCTTGATACGACTGTCAGGAAATTCACACGACGGGATGAATGTGAGTTCACCTCGAATTCGGCCTTGAAAGTCCCTTGCTGCTTTGCGAGTTCGGTGTGCTGTTTGCGGGCAGCAAACAACTCCTCTTCGATTGCCTCTGCCTTGTTCCTTTCTGCGGCGAGTTTTTGCCGCGGGATCTGAAGGTTTCCGTCAGCATTGTTGACCTTCGCGTCGAGCTCGGCGTCGGTGTCTGTGATACATTGAGCCTTAACGGATCCGGCACGCATTCGAGATAAACTAACCGGACATCTCCTGCAGATTTACGCGAGCCTCGTCCAAATCGGTCTGGACTCTGGCCATGCTTTCCTGAGCGTTTTCGACTCGTAGGTAAACCTCACGGAAATGAGTGGCGTATTCGTAGAACTTTTGGTTTGAGACGACGAGTGCATCATACGCCTTTTTCGTCTCGTCATGCTCGACCTCTTTCGCAGCGATCGTCTGGTTTAGGTCCGCTATGCGGGCTTTGAGTTTGTCTGCGTGGGTTTTCTCGCGAGACAGCCCGTCCAACCGTTCCTTTTCGGTCTTCAGTTCAGCTACGCGGTCTTTGCGGAGAGCCTTGATTGAATCGAGGGCTTTGGTGTATCTGAAAAAACATCAGGCCAGTTGAATTGTCAGCAATGAAAAACGCACTTTGTAGCCTCAAAGATGTCGTCAAACTTCTTCTTCAAAGCTGCAGGTTCCGCCAAAGGCCAATATGAATCCTCTTGGTGACAAAAAATGACGTTCTCAAGAACCGCCTTCGACACCCCAAGAAGCTGGGGGATCTCTACATCCATTTCCGCGCACTTTGTGGATATCGTGGCTCTCTGCGACCCGCCGTGAGTCATCTGGGAATTGAAACCACGAGAACACGAACCTTGCCACCTTTCTCATTATTGTCCGCGAGAGACAGAATGCTTTCGAGAGTTTTCATCGTCAACCCTGTAGTCTTTTTAACAGTTACGCTCAGATTTCGCACAGCCAGCATCCGAGTCCCGTTGGCTGCGTTAAACCGAAGCTTGACCTGCGCCTTGACCTCCTTCTCGTTCGCCATTTTGGGGTCGTGAACGAAAGCACCACCGCGGGTGTTCGGGGGCTGGTCTCCGGTCGTAGCATATTTAAGGCACTCGATGATAGTCGTTTTTCCGCTGCCATTGTGGCCGACAATGACCGTGACTGGGGTGAAGAACTCGATGACTGAAATTTGCTTGTCGTCGAAAGAGCGGATGCCACGGATGGCGAGCTTATTCAAAGACGCCATCCAGTTTTGAAACGGAGGGAGATGAGGGGGACTGAAGATCGAGGGTAAACAGAAAATAAACGCGGTCCAACTGGAGAGGAGGTCGCGGTAGGCGACGTGACTGTGACTGTGACAGGTCGTGTCGGAAATCGCCCGGCGGCCGCGGCCCTGCTCTGCCAGTAGCTGCGCTTTGACCTCAACCACATCCACGACAGGTACTCATGAACGCAGCACCCGCTCTTCCTGAAGAGCTCATCTGCTCAATTTTGTCGAACGTTTATTACAACGCTCCCTTCGGTACCCCAGATTATCCAACCCTACTGGCATGTTCCCTTGTCAATTCCAATTGGACGGTGCCTTCCCAAACGCTCCTGTTCCGGCGCATTACTACTCCTGCTGCCCCTTCATTCGCCCGACATGTAGGCTCGGCCAATGACCCAGCTCTCCTTTCCCACGTCCGAAGCTTTTCTACAGCGCTTGGGGTGGAGAATACTCCACGGCCTGACCGCGATTTCTGTACAGTGTCTGAATTGATCTTGATTCTCAAACACTGCCCGCAAATCTACGAGCTCAGTATCAGCGCGCACAGGCTCTTTTCATTAGGCTTGGACGGTATATCCGGGATAACCGCAGTGGTCCGCGCCGCTTCGATCAAAATCCGCTCGCTCAAGTTGGTCGATTGCAGCGTGCAATCGCCCATCCTCTACGAACTGCTCGCGCTTTTCCCCACTGTGGAGTTCTTGACACTCGGCGTTGAAATCGCCGCTTCTCCGCCGGCATGGACGCCTACGTTTCGATTGTACGAGCTCACGCTTCACCGCACATGCACATCCGAGGTGCTCGCTTGGTTGCTTTCGGCATCGGGCCAGTCTCTCCGTATTTTGGAGCTGCGCGATCTGCCGAGCGAGCGGACCCCGTCCGACCTGGCTATGTGCTGTCCGCACATCCAGTCCCTCCGCCTTATGCGCTTCAACGCACATAGTGCAATCATACTACGACAATGCACTGGGCTATTGGAGCTCGTGCTCTTGAACGTCCCTACTCTTGTTACTCTGCCGGAGCTCCCGCACTCGCTGGAGCATTTTGCGCTGTTGATTCAAACATACACTACGAGCGTCGATTTGCGGCCAGTCATTGCGGCGGTTGATTCGCTGCCGCGCTTGCGAATTCTCAGTTTTATCGGGGATTTGCAGGATATTTCGCTTCTCAAGGCCAGCTGCGATGCAAAAGGTATAATCTTGCAGGCCAACTGGCGCAAGTTTTGGATCGTAAGTTTGACCTGCTCTTGTTGGAAAGACCGCTCATTTGACTCTCGCAGAACGATGATCCTGTAAAGGCAACGCGATTTCCGCGACGCCGATCGGTCTCGAATTTTTATCTGATGCGTTAGAACGTAGTGTACAACTTGGACTGTTTTCTTTATTTTTTTGTATCAAGAAAGTTGTAGGAAGCCCCTGGCAAACAAGGACACATAACGCCCGAATTTTTAACAATGATGCTGTCCTCCGCCTTACGCGCTGGCCGGCGGACGTCTGCGCGATGCCTGCGCCATTTCTCGGCAACAGCAACGTCCTCCGCAGCATCGGCGGACCCTGCGGCCCCTCTTCAGCTCGGTGCGCCTGCCAACCACCCGTCGTCGTATGGCAGCGCCGGCAGCAGCTCTGCCCCCCTTGCCATAGGCTCTGAGACGCCCGAAATTAGCACAAAGTCTCCTGCCTTTGCTCCGCCGTCGGCTCCCCAGCTATCATCCGACCACGGGCTGTATGGCTTCTTCCGGCGCAAGGACGACCCAAATCTTCGCGGCGACGATCAGTACGATACATTTACGGACCCCAACATCAAGTACACCGGTCAGCACTCCGCTGGTGTCTGGCGCGCTGCATTACTCACCACTTAATCGTCAGGGAGGTCATGGCTCGCGTCAGAGCTGCGGCTGAAAAGCTTCAAAGACCTACACACGCTCTGGTATGTGCTGCTACGTGAGCGTAACATGCTCGCGACCCAACGCGAGGAAATGCGGCGGCTGGGTCTTCCCCCAAGACGTTTCCCTCATGCGAACGCGGTAAACTCGGCCAAGGTGAGTTGCTCACATCTCGCACCCATGCCACCGCTGACGCGGGTTTTCTTTGAAACAGTGCCGCAAGTCCATGGCGCGAATCAAGGCGATAATGAACGAGCGACGGCTCGCGTACGAGGGTGCCGTCGAGCTCGCAGAAAAAGAACGGGAGGAGGCGGAAGACGCCACGGTGCTCAAGTTCCAGGTTGACGTGGAGACGACCAAGAAGCACAAGCAGCATACGCTGCAGCTACGGCAGCGTCTCGTTATCCCTGCACGACCAGCTATCAAAACGCAGCGGGCAGGAGCCAAGTTCAAGGCGAAAAAGGACAAGGCGGCTCAATTGGCGCAGTCAGAGAGTCGGCCCGCAAAGGTAAAAACAGACCCAGAGCTGTCCGACGATGGAAACATCAAGAAGCCACGGTGGACCAAGGAGCAGAAGCGGAAGCACTTGTTGCACAAGAAGCGGCAGGCGGAGGGGGGTTCCTCAAAGTCCCCCAAGCGCTTGCATATAGCATAGCACAGTGCAATACATATATAGTAATCACCTAATTAGCGCAGGCTTATGCGCTGGCGTATGTGCTGCGCATGCTCGTCGGAGTCGTCGCATATGTGCTCAGCGTTCAATGATCCTCCTTTTGTTTCGTCTCTGGTGGCCCCAGTCACTCATCTCTTCGGACACCCAGCAGTCTTTGACCGACTTGTCTTCGTACATGTTCACTTGACGCGTGTAGGCACGCAATAAATGCTCGATTACGCCAACGGCGCGCGGGGACGCCGTCGCGGCGTTTTTGCGGAAGGTAAAGCGTATCATCAGGTCCCATTTCGCGCGCGTCTCCGGCGGCTTGCTACGTGGTATGCGGAGCGCGCTACGAAGTCTCAGATCAACGCGCGAATTGGCAGCGGGGGAGACACACCGTCGATACAAATTCAGCACGTCTTTCTGTAGGCCAGAGTGACGAGCCGACATTCCGAAAAGAACGTTGCCTGCGAAAGTCGTTAATTGTCGATGGGCAGGAGACGAGGCGCGGGAGATGCTGCGTAGACTCGCCGCTCGATGTGATCACTGTGACCACTCGCTTCATGGATTCGGAGTCGAAGTCGGATTAAGACGTATAATCACGTGCGAAGATACAGGGCCAAACAACCAAAAACGCCTCGAGCCTAATTAGGAAGTTGATGTCCACGCGAGCCATACGTGGCTACACAAAGACTCCGCGAGGCGGGGGCAATGTTCTGAAGAGTAATATACCCCTTTCACGAACTTGTCACATGCGCAAAGTCCGCAACTTGAGAACATTCGATCGTTTTGAATTTGGCCCGTTAAGCTTTGCTTGAGCTCCCCCCCGCGCTCCTGCCCGCAGCCTGGAGCAAATTCACGGTGAAGGACTGTGCTGCCTCAAGCTGAAGGGAGCGGAAGGCTGAGGATGGAGCCCAACAGCACGCTCTCTTTGTGACGAAAATTAAAACACTTCGGAATTTATCAATTCCAACTCAAAATCGATGTCCAAGCTACTCAGGCTTTGCCCTACGGGCGCTTAGCGCAGGGGTAGCGCGTTCGCTTCGCATGAGCCACACGTTGGTGCGAAAGGTCGTTGGTTCAAATCCTACAGTGTCCAGAAGTTTTTGCCTCCAGTCAAGCAAAACAGAGAGTTCCTGTTTTTTTTTTTTGCAGCACCATTTACGGCCGCCAAGATGTTTTGCAGCTATGCCGTGTTTCTACAAACGATTCCACACTCTGCGTGACTCTGGAATGAGTCTGACTCTACACAGGAGGGTCAACTTTTTAAGCAGGAGTTATTTCTACGGTGTTTGGCCCAAATGTAAAATAAACTGAACCTTGAGTGAGCTTTGCATATAGGCTTCCTGGGCTATAATCTACAGCTTAACCCACGGTCAAAAACGTTTTGGACGCAGCTCAACCTGATTTTTGAGCGTGGCACATACAGGCACGTGACGCGGTCTAGGCCCCGGCGCCGCAACTGGCCGGTACCGCCCCAATACCCGGTACCCGCCAATACCCGCCGCTCAGGCTGCTCGTACTCGGCTCACGTTCACACAAAATGGGATAAAAAGAAAACGATATCATTGAATCTATGTACTTGTACATCCCAGTCCAAAGCGAGGCACTCCCGTCCGCCAAATCCCTGAAACTCATGTTAGTAAAGTACCCGGGCGGTGAATGAACGAAGTCAGAATGAGACTCACCTCGGACAAAGCGCCCATCTCTCGCCATAAACCTCCCTCTTCGTCGTCCCCCTCCCTGTGGCTTCGTCACCGTGAACCTCGACGTTGACCTTGACGTTGACTGTAGAAAATGACAAGCGTAGTGAGCACAACGATAGGGCTTGGTGTCTTGGGGTCCATCTTGCGAGGCAGAGGAGTGTTGAGAAGCCTGGAAAGTGTCTTGAAGTCTTGAGGGCGCTTGAGCAGCCAATTGCTGTTTCAGTGTCGCCGATTGCGAGGAGCGAGATACTTGGAGTGTAGGCAACTCTTGATGGCCACGGTCTTGCAAAGGGGCACGGGGAAGAGCTTGAGGAGAGGTGATTGACGGGGATTGAGGAGCATACAGCTTGAAAGGAAAAGACGAAGGGAAGACGATGGTGGTGTGAAGAGAGAGACGACATCAACATGGGCCAAATCAGTCCAAAACAATTGATTCCAAACAACGACACATTCATCTTCATTCCAAGTCGCGTCAAGTCGCGTCCACGATTTCAAGCATTGATTCAACGCCATCTACTACACAATATTAGAGACACCCTGAGTCTGCATCATGTCCAACATCCGCTGCTGGTCATCTCCGTAATGGGCCTCAAGACGTTGAGGCGGATGCATGGGGAGGAGTGCATTGCGGCTGCCTCCCGCTGGCGACGATGTCTGGTCCGGAATGGATGCAGCAGCTCCCGGGGTCAAGCCCCTGAACTTGCGCTTGTCGTCCAGGATCAGCTCGTCGACGTAACTGTAAGTATGATAATGAATTCGTTGTTGCGAGTATTCCATAGAATCGAAAACGCACCTTCTCCATTTCGGCCCAGTCAGCGAGGTCCCGCGCAGCGCAATCTGCTCCTTGAACCACTCGTCAACCCGGCCCCAAAAATCCTCCCCCTTCGCTAGCTTCCCAACTTTAGGCTGCTTCGTTTTCTTGACCTTCTTCTTTGGGCGTTGCTCTTCTGCAGCATCGTACTCGACGTCGCTATCGGGTACTTCCTCCTCGGTGGGAGCAGCCTTCAGCGTGGGGTGGTCAAACACAAACCGACGCTGAAGCCAAATTATCAGAGAGGGATCCAAGTAAGAAGCCAAGGACGAACCAGGAGTGCAGCATGCACAGTATATATTTGAGGCAAATCCTCGCCGACCCCTCCCAGCCTGTATTTCGTCGCAGATGTATAAACAAAGTCTTCAAGCCGTACAAAGTTTTCGGCGTCTATGCTGGTAATAACCTGGCGACGTCTTATCAGTGGGCCTGGGATGGGGTGAAATCAAGAAGAACACGTACATCCGCACGCCAGGCATTCCTCACGCTGGAGCACTGCCGTCTGGTCATCTGTGCCAGGCTCTTCTCTCGCCCCGGTACCCCAAAAATGTTTTCCAGGCTGAGCAACACCTGGCGGTCCTTCAATACTTCCTAGAGAGCAATTGAGCTGAAGACGGAGCCTCAGACAATGGAAACGTACAATAACATCGACGTGCATGGTCAGAAACTTGGTCCTGTTGCCGTCGTAAATCACATCTTGGACGATGCCCCGAATGTTTTGCTGTGGAATGGATCAGAGCCCAGTTTGAAGGAGGATTCTGTGCTGCGCACCTTCTGCATTCGAGTAAAACAAAATGTTTCTTCAAGCCGAATCTTCAAGTCGCGCCAGATAGCCCTGTAATCGACTCTCTCCTGTTCTTCAGCCCTTGCGGCGCGCTGTCTCTCGGCGGCCTCACCCAACTGGGCAGCGAGCATGAAGACGCGCGTCGCAAGGTCGGGTGGCGAGAGCCCCGCACCGAGAGAGCCAAACTGGTAATGTGTACTCAGAGGGGGTAAATCTGCTCGGAAGGAAAGACTCACTCCAACAAATAGACATAGGAGCGCAAGCTGTGGAGGCTCCAGTCGAAAATTGCGAGCAATGGTATCCACGACGACAGGACTGAGAACAGGCGTGGATGGCGGAGGTGAATTTTGGGGAGGAGGTGAATGGCCAGTGGGCACCACCGATGAGCTGGGGGTCTCGGGGAAAAAAGGGGGAGGATGGGAGACGGGAGGCGGTGAGGAGGACGGCGTCTGTTGGCCAAACGACGAAGCCGTAGGGCTAAAATTGAAGGTGGGAGCGGAGTAAGGAGTGGGATTCATGGTGGGGGAAAAAGTCGATAGGGGTCACTGATGGCCCGAGCCCTTTTATATCTTTGCGGCGCGTCTTCACGTGTGCGGGACGCGTTTGTTGATTCAACAAACGCGCTTCGCGATGCGTCAACACGCGTCTCAAAACTATAAAAGGCGGTGGTCGCTGATTGCCAAAATGTAACTCGATCGCCCACTTTCCGTTTCGAGATGAAGGTAAACACAGCCAAATCATCCTCTTCTCGCTACTCCCCACTCGTCCGCGACACCAACCGTCCTCTGCGCCGCCCCCGCAAGGCGTCCCAGGACACTATCAACAAGAAGACCACTGCCAGGTCTGTCAGCTTTTTTCCGCCCGCAACACCCATATCAATATCCCTCGGGCAGATTATTTGCGTCCAGCGTACCCGAATACGAGGCCCCCTTGTCGGGCTACGGCGCTCTCTGCAGTCAAGTTGGCGAGACTCAATTCTTCGCTCAATGTACGTTTTGCATCTGGTCCCTCTTTTCTGAGTTCGCTGAGATACTCTCTTCTCAGTCGGTACCGATGTGGCTCTACCCGTTGCAAATGCGTGGTCACCAGTATCCTCGCCAGCGGCGTCACCGACATCCTCACCATCCATCAAGACCCCACCCCTTTCGCCGTCAAAGCAGCCTGCAAGTTCTCCACTAAAACAATACGGCTCTCGCATCCGAGGGTACATACCAGGGCAGCCGCAACACATCGACTTCCGCCCCGCGCCATGGCACTTAGAGGACCCATTCACAGGCCCCCAGGACATGGATCTCGATCCCTGGCCACTCGACGCCGAGGGCAATACAGGTGAGTATTTTTTTGCTACCTGCACACTTTATCCGAATTGACTTTGGCTTCGCAGTGCGCCCAGACTATCTGGACGACGATTTCCTGGCGGGGACTGCACAACCGTCATGGGAAGAGATGCACCCGTCCGTCAAGATCGAAGTGGACGACGCGATGCCCGAGGCGACCTCCCCGGCCGAAGAGTTCACTGAACTCAACGAGTTCGAGACGTGGGTTGTACGGCGAATTCGGGAGGCTCACTCCAAGGGGGAGTCTGTTGTAGATGGGCTGCATCAGCTCAAGGCGCGAGCAGCCGCGCTTGAGAAGGAAAATGCAGAGCTCACAGCTCGCCTCGCTGACCTTACGTCTGGCTCTAATTAGCTTTCTAAATCTATCGAATTTCCATTGCCTCCTAATTCTGCGTGAGAGAGACTTGAAGCTTGGGTTTCCCAAAGCAGTAGCAGAATTTCCTCCTTGGGTCTGCTTGCGCGAAACGGAGCCTGCACAAGAGGACAAAAAATAGACTCTATTCACTCCCCAGCAGTTCGTCTACCGTGCTAAGCAGTCCTAGTCCCATCTCCCACCGCGTGCCCTTCAGTGCCGCCAGCCGCGCGAATTCCTCCGGGTCCTCCTGCTCCAGCACCTCCTCCGTCCGAAACCCATTGTCGACGTAGCGCATGATGCCGCCCACCGTGAACTGGGTGAACGACACACGGGCGTCGCCCTCCTGCACCGGTATATTCGAATGTGCGATTGTGGCTGAGGGGAGTAGGATGAGGGCGCCGGGAGGGAACTCGATGGCGAGCATCAAGTCCCAAAGGACGAGATGACCGCCCTTGGTCGGGTCGAATGGTCCCGCCGCTTGCACCGCGCACCAGCCGAATGGGACGTTGAGGACATCGCGGTGGTGGAAGGTCCACACGTTCGGTCCAAAGTTGAAAGCGGCGCAGGAAAAGATGGAGCCGACGAAAGGCCGGCGGAGCTGGGGCAGGTGTCGCCGTAGCGCGATGTCGTGTTCCCGATAATATTGGTGGAGGCGCGGGGCCCACATCGCAAACACCGCTGTGCTGTGATCAGGACAAAAGAAAATGCTACAGGAGGATGGCGGACATACCGCTCGCAAAAGTGGCCATCCGGATGATGTTCTTGTCTTCGAGCAGCCGGTCTGTGAGGTCGGCGTAGTCGCTGCGAAGCCAAGACGGGGCAGTCTGCCCTTTGCCGTAGGACAGCCCGACGTTGATGGCAGCGAAAAGTCCCCGGCGGTGGTGGCGCATGGCGGCAGGAAAGTGCGCGGCGAGGCCTTCCTTGGTGATGGCGGCGTACGCAGCATTGACGGCGGCGGCATACGTGGGGTCTCGTGGCTGCCCGACGAGCACCGCGATGATACGGCCGAAGCCATCGACAATCGGCCACGGATCGCTGGCGGATCTTGTCAACTCATGTACGACGAAGAAGAGAGGTGGTAAACTCACAAACCGTTCCACTTTACA